CACACACACACACACACACTTTATCTTTCACTGACCACATGCATGAATGAACACACACATCCACACACAGCCCGCTGTGACAGAGACTGATAGGCATTATTACCATCATGGAGGGAGGCGGAGGGAGGAAGTGAAGCTCTGGCTTTAGTCTGAGGGACCTTGAGGTGTGTCACACTAGCGCAGATGCAGACAGCTGTGACTGTCCCTGTTTGCAGATGACAGCCTCCTATCCCACCATGTTCAGCCCGTTGATTTGGACCCCGGTTGTGACCCGGATGCCCACAAAAGGCAACGTCCTGCTACGAGATTTCTCGCTCATTGCATCACCTCCGAATGTTGCCAAACACCGTCATTGTAGTGCATAAATAGAAGAAGAATGAAATAGGCTTGAAGCGTAAAAATACTCTTTGGGTTGTGTTAACACATATTATGTAAGTAAAACATAGCGTTACGTGGCCTATGTAGACAGATGGATTGATTAGGAGAGAGGGAGACAGTGCAAACTGAGGAGAAGAATATAGCAATCACTTCTCCATCTATCTGTCTGGATAATTCATATGAATCTGCTCATTTACCATCAGCTAATCAATCTAGATTTACACACACACACACACACACACAGTGTCACGAGCACACTTAGCACTTCTTGATGGTCTGCTCATATGGCTCTGCATCAATCTGTAATGAATGAGAATGAATGCGGCAAAGGAGGGATGGAAGAAAAATATTCTGATTAGAGACAAACGAGCGAAAGATTGATGGAAGTACAGCAGCCTCCGCATGCTTCATTCATCACGGATGCTGGAGGGGTTGGACGGGGGACAAATGCAGGATTGTGCCACACCAGCTGGGATACAGACTTTATTGCAACATCTTTTTATCCACGTATTGTTTTGAGGGCAGAGTCACTGATGACAAAATCATCAAGTTCCCTCGAAGAGAGTTAAGGGACAAACTCATTAAAACTCATTGAGTTTTATGATGCTGAGAGGAATGATGGCCGAAAGTAATAAAAAAACAAGACACCAAAGTTGCAATATACTAGAACTATATTGTAATATGTACGTTTTAACGCTGTAGCTGCGGGTCAAGGTTGCTAACTGTTGTACTTCACATAGCGTTGGGTAGTCGGGTCACACTTTACAAGATGATCGTGTGTGTTGTATGTAATTAGGTCATTCAAAAATGTTTTTAACTGTCGGATAACTGAAGGCTTTCACTCGTCATTCAAGTCTTGAATATGTGTAGATGAGGTCAGTTCTGTGAGTTTTGGTTTGGGCTGTACGTGACGCATTTGAATGAGTTCAAACTGATAACGTGCTAGTATTATTTAGATTTTTACGTTTGTAGAAAGTGAAAGCACTTGCATATAGTAGAATAGAAAGTACAAAAATCCCCTGAAATGTTCAAAAAAACGATTCTTGTCTCGTGCATAAAATTTGAATTCTCAAGTAAAGCACCACAAACTTAAAGTGAAACACAGTTGAGAAAATATCCGTGGTAACGTTCCATCACTGCTTGGAGGTCCCACACCTCATACAGCGAGTATTAAATATTAAAGAAAGAGGTCCTTGTAACGTGTTTCACACTTTATTCATAGAAAAGCACTGAGATTCCAACACAAATCAATATAAAATGGTAGTAGCGTTACATAAATAGTAATAAATTCTCGCTTTATAGACAGTAGCTCAAGAAGATGCACAAAAAATATTACAAAATAACCCCCAAAATAAACAAGTGTTGATGATAAGCTATCATACTTCTGTGGCAACAAATACTGGAAATACCTTTTTCATAATCAGTAGCACAAAGAGGCAACAAACACTTTCCCATTTTCCCTTAAGTTAGAAAGAATCCAAAAGCAAAACAAAGTGTGAAACAGTAGGTGAACTAGATCTCTACCAGCAAAGAGGACGCGCCTACGGAAGAATGAAGGGGGAGCCATGAGGACCGGCGGATACATTTAACACAGGCTGAACAGAGAGGGAGGAACGCGTTTGATGTCCCGCTGTCAGTAAACGCATCACATGAAGGCAGCGGGCTGGATCTCTCTTTCATCCATGAGTCAGCAAAACAGCCTCATGGTGCTGATGTAGTAACCAAGAAATGGACTCAACCTTCCTGTTTAATCCTCATGTAGAAACCTTGCAATAGTTTTGTTGTGCTGCTGATGTCTCAGCTGCTTGTAAGACAGCTGGTTACTGACACACCGGTGCATGGCTCCTCCCTGCGTGAGAGGGGGGGTAAGTGGAGATTTACAGATTTAAAGGAAGAAGTAATGAGACAGAAGAGGTGAACTCTGAAGGGAGAGAAAGCGATAAAAAAAAGAAGAAGTAACAACGAGGAATGAACACGAGGGCGTCCACAGACCACGCCTCCTTTTGTTCACACAGTTGACGTTGGTGACTCGCTGACTTGTGTATTGTTCCGTCTCACTGCGGTGCTGCCGCCACACGACACCACTGAGAAGACACTGAAGGCTTTGAGTCCTGCTTAAATTAAAAATAAAGACAACAACAAAGAAGTAAAGCAAAAATAAACTTTGTACATTGATCGGTCACAAAGGCATTTTCCACCATATTCATTTTTTCCCCCCGTCTCCCCATAAATGTTGCAGCGTATGCAGGCCGGCTACTGCGCATTGTCCAAATACAAGCATGCTGGGTCTTGTCTCTGTCCGTCCACCCCCCCTCTCTCTGTAATAGTGGTTCAGTCCACAGAGTCTTTTTTCCGGACGTCTTTTAAGAGGCGACAAGACCACCGCAGTGGTTCTGCATAGTCAGGTTTAGTACGTATCTGTTTACAAGTGAATGCCTCCCTCGTTTTCATCAACTCAGAACATGCTTCCTTTTAGAAAACAGACTTTTTTTTTCTCTCTTTGCAAATCAATAAAATTACAAATAATAGTAGCTATTATAGCGCAAAAACAAACTTAAAGAAATGCACACAGGAGCACCTGAGAAATGCCTTGAAGTCTTTGCTCTTACAAAAAAAAAAAAAAAACGCTGGCAAATTCACCATCCCAAACAGTTCAAGTACACCCCCGCCAAAAGAACAACATAAAAATAAAGTAAAAACAAACGCATAACATACATATCATAAATAATTATAACTTTACAATTTTCTGAATTGACACTTTCATATTTACAATATCTTAAATGCTTAATGCTACTACTTTTTGTTTTGTTTCTTTAAGTGATGTCCCTGAGAACTGAGTTTAGCCTCTCTTCTCTTTCCTTTGCTCAGTTTTCCTTTTTTATTCGTTTCCTCCATTCTTCTATCTGCGTTCCTACCGACCGGACAGACCCAGAGTTGTGACTGACTACCCGGGGAGTGGGTGAAGGTAGCTCTCATGGAATGTAAAAGCAGACAATAAAAATGTTCCTCCGTTCAAAGAAAAAAAAAAAAAACCTTTTTGTGACTCTGTTGTGTTACTAAAACAATCACTAAAATAAATGCTGAAGCAGGCAGGAACGTACTGAAGAGGTATCTGTGTGAAGTGCTTGTACGATGGCGGATAAGTCCGACCGGTGCGCTCTTGCTGTACTGTGAACAATACTTTGCCACCGGGTAAGAAAGGGGAGCATGGACATCCCTGTGCCGAGGCATGTGGTTTCAAACATGTACGATTAAGTCATCAAGTCATACATAGAACATCTATCTGCGGTGTTTGCACTGTGTAGCTTTAACCCTTTGAGAAAGACAAGGCAGCTAGTCGCCACAGTTCACAATGATCACAGCCAGCAGCTCTCACAGGGAAGTGGCTTCAGTAACTGGAGACTCTTTTCCATCACGAGAGACCGAGGAACTGGAGGAATACGACTTAGTTAAGCATATTTATCTATGCTGCAGCCATAATGGGGAACGGTGTGATTACTGCAATTACCGTAGTTTATAATCTTTTAGATTTCTTTTTTTGTTGTTGTACTTTATCCAAACAATACCACACGGTAACTGTTTTTTTGGCCACTTGGGGGCAGTGGTTCAAGCGGAGAACACAAAAATGACATATCATCCTCTTACAAAGTTACGATGGCTAACGTGTTAGCAAACAGCTTCTAATCTACACATAAGGCAGAGATGGAATATAAGTGTTTGGAGTCGTGTTTCTGGCCGCCAAGCAAATGTTAGTCCAATAGGGACTCTCTCTTTAGCTCCATTTTGGTCTTCACCGACTCTTTAGAAGCTAAATGCTACACTAGCTAGCTGCTAACTTTGCCCGTCTACTGTCTGGTGCGAGGCAGCCGGTGTTAGCTTTCTTTGCGGACCACAGCTACACTGGAAACGAAGGTGACGAGCACAGCAAGACTTCACCAAATGGCAAAGGCCGGAAAAAATCTAAACTATTAGCTAAAGGACGTTAGCTTTGTAGTGCAGAGTTGGGTGTACTCATTATTTTAGTTTGTTACTAAAAACAACCATTTCACATTACACATCAGTTGATTTATTGTTCACGTAACAATATTAGTTAGTGCAGATGTATAAGTGGTATGAGTATAGTTCTACTATAAATTCAAAAAAATATATATTTTGGAAGGCTTTTTGATTCTAGATACACAAGGCAGAGCGTCTTCCTTGTTATCAGGCCAATATTTGTTGTAATTATTTAGCACTTATTACCTTATTCTGACTGTTACATTTAAATAGTGCTTATTTGATCAACCACAAGTGCCGCACATTTCACCGTGAGAACTCATGGCAATACACAATGGTAAAAAGTACTATCTGCCAGGGCTTTAGGGGTAGGATCCATCAAAAGAACCAACGATGGAACCAGATTTCTGCTCTTGAAAAGGCCTTACGCTCTGGGGTTCATGAAATAGTTCCGGCAAAAGTTCTTGAGATGGAAAAGGGACTTTAGCTACCGGCAGAGTTACCAGCCGACGGATGCTGGAATCAACCCAGGTCCCTCCATGTTTCAAAGCTTCCCAACGGAAAACACAACAAAAAGGTGACATTAACGCCGCTGGGTGATAGAAATGAAGCACAGACTTGACTAATATTGCTGATTGACTAAATCCCGATGTAGCGAGTGAAAGGTGACAGGGCTTCTAGATTTGAAAACATGCACTCTGTGAAGCAACACTGTGCTTCCTCTGAAGATAGTCTTCAGGAACAGCACTGACCAGCAGATGTCAAGGGGGAGGAGCTAAGCTAGAGTGGCTTTACTCGGTACTGACGTCTTCTACACAGCACGTGTAGTTCTGTGTTCTGCCCGCTCTAGTCTAAGATGCCCTGAATGAAACATGAGGCCGATTCTTCTGAAAGAGAAGTTAAAGCTGAGAAATAATACAGTGGAGGTATGGCGGTAACACTATGCATGCTTTCTGACCTCAGTAGAGCTTTTCTCTTTTGGAATGACAAGTTCCTTCCACTTTGAAAACCACTTCCTCCTCTTCTTCTCCTTAACCGCAGCTCAAAGCGTCTTCTGACTCAAAGTAAGTACCCCATCCAACCAAATCTTTTGGTTTATAAATCGTCATGTGCCACCAAAAAAGAACCAAAAAGTCCCTTTTGTTTCTCTCCCCCCCCCCCATCACAATCTTTTGACTTTTTCCTACTAGACTCAACATTAGTTGGTTTTTGTTGTTTCTTTGACATTTCAAGCCGTTTCCCCCCTTTTTGCAGTCTCAAAGAAGCAGAGCAATGTACTGCAAACACTTCCTGGCTCACATCCAAGAAACAAAACAACAAAACAGGACAAAAACTTAAGACTTAGTCAACAAATGGCTCAACAGAAGAAGTAAAAATACAAGGAATCCAAAATAAAAACTTAAATAGAAACAAATAAGTCGATCTACTTCCCAAGAAGAGGGTCCCTGTGAGGGAGGGGCGAGGTCAGCCGAAGCGCTCCCTGACCAACATCATCAGTTTCTTCTTGCCCTTGTAGATCTGTTTCAGGTTGTCTATGAACTGGGCGAACTGAATGTGGCCATCCTGTGCCAGCAGGAAAGTCTCCCGCGCTTTGCTCAGGAACTCTATGAACTCCCCGTAGTGCCGCGGACTGATGTGCGTCAGTCGAGAGTGCGTGGTGTTGATGTACGCCGAGATCGTGGCGTCCAGGAGCTGCCGCAGCGGCGCCTTGTCCGTCGACATCAGCTTGCCAGAGTTCCTTCTCCCGGGAATGCCGGCGAGACCCGGCGCCGTCATGGTGCACCGCCGCAGGATGTCGGACAGCACCGTGGCACAGTGCACGCTCTTCACCACCAGGGGGATAATGGCCGCCAGCTCGTTCTTACCCAGGGAGTGGCTGAGCGCGCAGGCCCAGAGCACATCGTTAATAGCAGAATGCGTGTCCTGGTTGTAGGCCAGGTTAAGGTGGGTCATGGCGAGGGAGGCCAATTTGAAGGACCGCAGAGGATATCCTCTGTGTTCCATGTACCTCGCGATGGTGAACAGCTGGGAGTAAGTCATACCCGTGGACGCCGCGTCGATCACGATCTGGTAGGCCGTCTCGAAGGCGATGTGGTCCTTCTCGCAGAGCGTCAGAGCTGACAGAGCGCAGTTCTGGGGGTCCTTCATGGCGCACTGCAGGGCCAGCGTCCTGGCACAGCTGGCCAGCTCCTCGCGCTGCGGGTAGTCGAGGCTGAGGCGCAGGATGGTGTTGTGGGACATGACGGTGGCCGCCACGATGCTGGTGGCCTCGGTCGGCGTGAAGAGGGTGTACCAGCTCTGTAAGATGCTCACCAATGCCCGCAGACCTGAGGAGGAGGAGGAGAGGGGTCAGAATGCAAATCACATGATACTGGTGTGATTCTAGCTCTTTGATAGTTGTTTATCAAGTTTATTCCACAGTTAAAAGAAAGAGTCTGACATGAGAGGAGAGGAAAAACAGAGAAGGTAGTGTGCTTTATTCTGAAACGGGAGCTCATTAGCATTCAGAATCATTCAGAGTGATCTCTGAAGCTCAATGCTGACGAACAGTATCAGTTCATTTCCCGGTGTTATTTTTGACTATTAGTTCCTGTTTTTTTCAGTTAAACAACACTTTGAAACTAGGCAGCAACTTCTGTATGCTTTATGGCGGGCTTACTGTCATTGCCGCTACGTCACTCCTTTGAATTCCAAATATGGTAACTTCTGTTCTTTGGTTTGTGAAAAAACCAACATATCGACGCCCTTCATCCAAGATGGCGATGGCAAAATCACCAAACTCGAGGCTTCATAATGGCCCTCCACAAACCGATGGGTGACGTCACGATGACCACGTCCACTTCTTACATACAGTCCATACTTGAAATGAGGGGCGTGTGCGTCTCAACTTAAAGGGGAACACCACTAAATAACGTGTTATATCTCCATAGGAAGTCTCTAACTAACTTCTTTTTTAAACCCAGATGAGCTTTTATTCTATCATAGTGTTCTCGGCTGTGAAACAGAAAATGTACCCATAAACTCAAACCATCCCTCTGGGTGCTCTCAGTGTCATCCATAACAACTTTCTCCATTCATCGTCTATGGAGCAGTTCCACACTTGATACTTGATGGCATTGCAAATTGCACTCTAGTTTTTAGCTTTGGGAGAGAGTTGTTCATGTTCACTAATATTTTTTTGATTGTCTTGGACAATAGGAATAACATGCACGAGTATTAAAAATGGGCGTAGTTGCCCTTATCATTTATCCATACCTTTAGTAGTCATTGTTATACTGTTGCTCGGTTGCTTTTGTACCAGGTGTAGTATCACGCACCCACCTCGACATTGTTCTCGAAAGGCTCAACATAATATGACTGAAAGCTTTTGATTTGGACATCCATAAACTGTAATGAATCAGAACTCTGCCACCAGGCGCCACCTATTGTATGATTTCACCACTGGAGCCCAGACGGTGCCAGACGGTGTCAGTGTATCCAGCAGACTATAGATGGCAAACTTAAATTGAAGGAAAATCATTGATGACAATATTGTATAATTAGACCATGAATCCTGTTTTACTGGTGTGTGTGTGTGTGTGGAATGGCCTCACATACCGACTTCAGTGGCACAGGTTACCAGCCAGCGGACCATCTCTCTCCTTCTCCAGTTCAGTGTGGACAGAGTCATCCTCATCACCTGTGAAGCGCACACACACACACACACACACACACATGCAGAACATGAGGTTTTCTGATCCTGCTACTTTCTACAATGGCAATAAGAACACACATTAGATCAAGTTTTTCTTTTTTTCTAAAGAATATTGACATAACAATTTAAACATTTCCGTACCTTTACCAAACAAGCGAGCATAAAATGTGTGATTTTTTTTATGATTGAACAGTTAAGCACAACACTGCATGTCTCCAGTGATGACAGCCATATCCAAAAGTGTGTTGGTAAATGACCTAGATGACTAATTGCGACGCTTCCATTCTGAGCACTTTATTAGCACTTTTGCTGACAGGAATTCCGCCGATGCTCTGACTACCAGCGGGGAAGAGGCGGGTGAAGCTGCAGCAATGCCGCTGCCTTGATGATCTGAAAGAGCTTTTTCTTTTTTTCTGTGTTTACTGTGGAACCCAAAAGGCTTAATTACGCGGTTTCTTCTCAATCGAGAAACGGCGAGACGCTGTGTGATGTTTTCTCTGTTAATTTGTAGCGATGCTGTGGAGGCCTGCGCAAATTACAAGTTCAAGGAAACTGTTGCATGTTTTGACTGGCGACCAGTGCTCAGATTTGTGTTTTGTGGTTAAATGATTTATGAAAATTGCTGACTCGCCCTCATACCTCGCCTGCTCTCTCAAACACACACACACACACACACACACACACACACACACACACACACACA